AATCTTTTACTTGTTTTTTCACTCATCCTAATGTTATATCTGTAATTTATAATTTTTTAAAACAAAACTAAGTAAGTTTTTTGCAGTACCTATTGATTATCTTTTTTTTGTCCAAACGGTGTAATAAATAAATCAGAAATTAAAATCTAAACATAAAAAATTCCGATCATATTATAATACCCGTCAGTTATTATCTACGATTATTTTTAAAGAACTACGAAGAACAACATTCAAATAATATAGTTTTGTAAAAATATGTTTAAATATCTGCTCAAATGTCGAAGAATGAGTTTCTATATTATTATAGTATAATAAATATATGTTTGTATCGAAATTTCATTTTACAGTGCACCGGGGCTTGTTCTCGGTAATGGGTACTCATTGAAGTCTTCAATCGTTTATTCGCGTCAATTTAATTCAAACAGTTAAATTAATGATAAAAAAATGCTAACCTTTCGGTACTTTTGAAACATAGGTACATATTATTATTTATATCATTGTGATCTATAACACGCCTGAAATTAAATGTTGTTTTTGCTCTCCTGTAAAACGTACCTATACATAATACACATGTTATTCATAGAAAGCTGCGTGAAGTGACTTATGGTTCCTTTAAAACATTCAATAGCTGTACGCCCATGGTATCTCATATATACAAATATATCTACAACAATATTTTAACGTTTTTATCTCGAACATATAACAATTATGGAATGGCGTTATGATTTTATTACTCGCGTTATTAAAATATCGCACTTTTTGTCGCCCGTTCAGATTATGATAATATCATAAGCGCCGAACGTTTCTTATTTAATATGGTTTTAACATATTGGTATTTTGTAATTACATCAGGACGTTCGGTCTAGGGTGTTAAAATTAACGATGATGTAAATAATTGTACCTTACATAAGTCGATTTCGTTCTAAAATCGATTAATATAATATTATTATACACGAGGTGACGGTTTTAACTGCAAACAAATAAACGGTTGGCGAAAATATCGATAGTTTTTCATTTTATAATCGTTTAAAATTTACAAATGAGTATCTTACCTAATAAATGATTATGGAATTAAAAATCGAACTGCTGTTTTGAAATTAAAATTTAATAGTGATTTTGACAACAAAAAACTGTATAATATATAAATATACCACAACTGTGACAAAACCGTGGAAGGTTAAACCTAACCTAACGGAAAACGTACGACACAAAGAAACCAACATTTCCAATTAGAATATTTCGAAAAGAAAACTATAATTTCCTACTAATTTCGACATGTGAGTGTTTGACGTTAAGACTTGTCAATATAATAAAGTACGTGAATTTGCATCCCCCCTCCCAGAAATATTAATTAAAAAGCAGTATGATGATATTTTAACACATATTATAATATTCGTGCAATATGTGGATGTGGGTTATTTTTCGAATTATCCGCAGGGTTTTAATGGTCGTAAGTGGACAAGGTCGTGATAAAGATATCTGAGGGAGAGAAAATATTACATAAATACTGCGGTGAATTCGAGCGTTAATAACTGGTTATATAGTGTGGGTGGTGGTGGGAAAAAAAATCGAAACAAAAAAACTTGTTGTCCACGCGCGTAAGCGTTTCCGTCAGACTTGTTCGCACACTTTCCACTGCACGGCGGCCAAGAAGTTTTTGTACACCCGAAAAAAATCACCAAGCAAAATCGTATTATCAAGATTCCTCACCCTCATGTCTACTCTTATGGATGAGTTTATTCAGATTCGGATTTTTAAGTATAAAAACCATATTTACAAAATCCACTCTAAATTATGCGGACAATAAATTTCTACCATTTACAGATTTAAAACAAAGATTAAGTAACAAAATAATTAAATTTATATTGTAATTTATTGTCAATCGTTGATAGAATATATCGTTATATACTTATAAATATTATTTGTTTATAAAAGTGATTGCAAAAATTATAATATTATTTTGATTTTATTGTTGGTGAATGGATGAGAAGGAGAATATGACGTTTAGGAGGAGTGGACGAAAAACCGCACATCAGTTCCCATTAAAAAAAATATAAGTGTGCCTCGAGACCCTTCAAAATGATGATTTAAATCCGTATTCAAATAACAAGGTACAGCTTATACAGATGCTCAAAAAAAGTTAAGAGATTTAAAAATGCTGGTTTGTAGTTTGTCGTTTTATTATATTATTCAATTCTCTATTGGAATAATAAAAAAAAAAATACAGAAATAGTTGAAATCGTTTAAAATGAAGTTCTAGAGACAAGATGGGAGAAGGTCATAATAACCAATAGCCATAGAACTACCCAAATTAAAAAAAAAACTTATAATGAAACATATGCACAAGATATTTTGATTCTAATTATGTTTACTAGTATTAAAATGTTAAATGTAGTTTAACTAATATATTATTTTATTATTCATTACATATTTAAATAGAAATCTGTTATTTTTGTTTGTAAGATTATGTTCTATTTTATAAAACTCTTGCTGGACCTACATCTCTACTGTTTTTTTGAATTTGTTATTGAAGTTAGATATATAATATTTTATTCCGATCGTCAATATTTTGTCTTTTCTTAAAATGTACTCTTGTCATAAACCGTCAATAATACGGCCCCTATTATTATATTGCGTGGTCATTATAGATGAAATATTTGTTTACATTCATTGAATATAAGCTACATTACAGCTATATGGTTATTATATCTCTTAAGTATATCATAACAACCAATTAAAATTAAGATACAATATTACAAAGAAGCTTGGCCGTTACCTCCCATTTTGGGTATTAAACCTAGTATGTCACTACAATCGGTTTTGTTATAAAGATAAACTATTTCTGCTGTAACTGTATATGTTACCGCCAATGATGATAATTAGGTATTGTTAAAAATGACTAGTCTATGTTAACACTGACTGTTTTACATAGGTATTGATATTATTGGCTAGTCTTTTTAGAGAATACCTAACTAAGATAGACAATCATAGAACAAATTTAATATTAATACATAATTTCTATGATTGACCAGTCATTGTCATTATTGACTAATACTATGTAGCCATTGATAATTTTAGATATAATATATTATATTTACTATTTAAGAATAAACAATGAAAAAAAAATATAAGAAAAAATTAATTTTTTCATAATAATTATTATTTTAATACTTGTATGTTGATTATTGATTATGACGTATGGGTATCACTTATTCTCGCATGATAAGCTGTTATGGCATTTCGATGTACAAAGCCGGTTATTAGATCTACAAGTACATTTATTTGTTTTGCATTTTGTTTTGCAGTGGCACCGTGCACAATGCATACAAAGACTTAAATATATCATAATAGTTTCCTTGGTAATATTAGAATATTTTGTCTTTAATTCATAAACCATGCGGTCCCTACCACCATGACCTATTGCAATGTGACTATCGTGTAAAATATCAAATAATTCGTCATTTGATACATAATAGTGTACATTTTCTGAATTATTACTTATAGATTTAATAAGTCGTTCTTGCCCATTGAGTGTTATTATATCATACTTACGAATGTATCTGTAATCCTTTGCACTTTTCTTCCCAATTTTTTCCTTAGNTTCACGTTTATTTTTCAATAAATCAGATAATGCTTTGTAAAATTTTTGACGCATTTCATTTGAATTCATTTTTTTAATAAAACAATTCAACACTTTTCGAAATGAAAAACTATACAAAACTATAAACTATATTATACGAAAGTACAACGTAGACTGTAACAATACTTATGTTAGGTTAGTTGCCGTGAGTATTAAAACTATAAAAGATACCTATTATTATTCGTTATAAAACAGATACCTAATCTTAACGTGGGTTTTTAAAGTTAAAACGATAAAAGATAACATTGACTACACGACGATAGGATATGTTATAATAACTAGTGAATTTATCAAATTATAACATCGTCTGATTTACCAAGTCAATGTTACAAATATATGTTGATTATAGATAATGACCAAGTTACCCAGGCATTATATTAATTGGCTAGTCAATATCATCATTACCTGAATTTACGACATTGACGGTAACATATACACAGCTTGTAATTCAAGCGTGTGGACTAAATAATATAAGCCATGAGCTTATCCACAAGACTTGGAATGAATTGATCTGTAAAAATGTTTATATTAGGTATGTGAAAAAAAGCTTAACTTCGAGACCTCGTCTGCGCCTTTCTAAAAATATATCGTTTCTAGACCAAGTCGGCGGTATTGAGCTCAGAGTTATCTTGTAATAATCCGATTTTCAAAAGATAAGAGACGGGGAAACCTTTGTCGGAATTTTTTCGTGACAATGCTCGCTTATTTGACCGACATTTCACAATAGCTACCTATATAATATGCTTTCTATAATACTCTGACAATAATATTGTATAAGACTTCAGAATCATTTTCATTTCTGCTGTTGGTTATGATGACAATAATGATGTCCGATTCATGGCATTTTGAACAGACGTAAAAAACTCATCTCCGGTTATACATTATAAATACGTTTATAGTTATAATATAAATATATAAATAGTTGTATTGTGTACTATATTTATGTGCGGATTATATTAATATGTCACGTTCAGTAGTTGATCCGTTCGCGACTGAATCTGATGATTTTATTCAAAAATTTCAAAAAAATTTAATTTAATGTATTGATATTTAAAATACGACATTTGACCTTTTAGGTTGATTATGTTTGTCAACGGGATCAGAGGGGAATAAAGGTAAAAATATGAGATTTGTAATTCTAAACGATACAAATATTAAACGAAATTCTTTGTTGTATTAATCTTTTTCTGTTTCGTTTTGTTTTTGTTTTGTTTTATTTTGGTTTTTTTTTTTTTTAATCATACCATATTGAAATTGTAAATCCATTACTATTATAATACATAGCAAAATAAACCCTTTTATGTATACTTGTGGAATAGTCATACATAATTAGTATTGACGTTTTAACCTATCATTGCAGGTCCCCCAGTAGAGGTCGGAGTCACCATGTATGTTCTCAGTATAAGCTCCGTGTCCGAAGTACTCATGGTACAAATAACCTAATAATATTTTTTGTTTTTAAAACGTTTTTGTTATTTTTATATTTTTTAATTTAATCATATGATACGAAATAATATGATTTTTTATTTTTAAGAGTGTTTCTATATTCGTATAATATATTATGTTGTATTAATTGATATTATATGTCTCTCATATAATATTAATATCTATGTGTGATGTGTATGAAATACGCATATATATTTAAAGATTTATATAATACTATGTGTGTATAGTGTTTACATGTACAGGTTGATTGGAATTTCATGTGGCAGCGATTTTTTAATGGAAATATGCAAAATTGAGAAAAACGTAGAAATATGAAACTGTGTAGAAACATATACATTTACAGAAATTCTGATTGTCTTAGGTACGTCAAAAAAATTGTATTATCGTTACTTAGCTGGTTATACAGTTGGAATGATCTAACCTAAGCAGGGGAGTTGAAAAAAGCCATTTGAAAAATTGTATTTATTTTAAAGTTTCAATCATATTTTAATATATCCTTCTCCATTTCGAATATTTATGTATAAGAACATTGCTGGAACACGAAATCCTGATCATTCTGTATACATAAATAGATATATAATATATATATGCATAATCTATATATGGGCGTATAATATTATCTTGATGCCTTTATTTTTTAATAATTGTTTTTATTATTTTGTGTTCCAATAATACGTCCGTTTAAACAGACGCTTTCTTTTGCTTATTGTTTTGTTTCAAAACAGAATGTTTAAATAACTCGTGGAAACATGAACAAATATAATAAAAATATTATATTTTTTTACAATGTCGATTTTGTTTAGCGAGCCAGTTTTACTGTTGTTATTAACTATATAAATATATTTAGTTATGATTCGTCATAACGACAACTCGCTACGAAAACTATGAAAGGAACCAAATGACGTTCCCTGCATGCAAGTCTGCTGCTTGACAATTGCGGTATCCGCACAATTACCTGTGTCACGATTAAAATACGTACGGCCCTATGTTATCACTTGATAAATCGTGTAATGACATATTGTGTGACCACTACTCAAATAATAAATACCATAATGATGTGAGCGGCTCAACAGTGATCGATGTGAATAAAAATAAGTAGGTGAATGGCTCGAATTCAGTTAGTTCCAAGATGTTAGGTTTGCATTAGCTCCATGATTATTCAGCAATGTCAGTAATAACTAATTATTTTATTTTTGGGAACTGCCTATTATAAATTAATATTATATGATTGTAGATAGGTTTTTTAAAACACGATAATATATCTTAAGTGACTATGTGACGTTTTAGTCTAATGACTTTGAATGTAAAATGTTAAAGTTTTAGAAAACAAAATATATTTTTTTTTAATTTCCTAGTCTTTTATACGACCTATGCAATTATGAAAACAATTCATCTTTCAGAATCCAAGATTTCTTTTTAATTTTATAAAATAGAAGTGAGGGGATGGTAAATTACTATTTTGAAAGATGCATCACCTCCACTTCAACTACTATACCTTGTCAATAACGAGCACGCAGCAATACGGATGTTATCCGCTTAACTATATACAGAACAAATTTCCGGGTGTTCTAAACCATATTTTCAATCGAATAGTGAGTTTATTTAAATTCTGATTTTCAAAATGTTTAAATATTATTTAAGATGCCATATTTAAGTATAATAGTCTACGAGTTTAAAAATATGGGAGCATTAATGATATGACAATTATTTTAGTAATTATCACTAATATATTAAAACTTTATGATTTGTAAAAATGTTATGTTCTAAGTAAAGTGAGTACTGGAAAAAAAACTACATCATTTTATATTTTTAAACTAATGGTTTACTGTCAAAAATTAAGCTTCTTATTTGAAAAAAGTTCGTATAGTGAACACTCCTGATATGGTACAAAAAAATCTAAGTAATTAAAATAGGGTATAGCAGTATAAAATATAAATACTTAAAATTTTCAAAAATCAGAATTCCAAAATATATGCATTATTAAAGAAAAAAAAGGAGTTAGCATATTTGGTGAATCATTCTGTGTAAAGCATCCAAGAGAATCACACAGATGCGTACAATTTGTCATTTTTGTTAATGATCTTCGATACATAATATTAATATTATAGTATATTATCTGTGCCTAACGGTTGCGTTGAATCTGGACGGTTTTACCTGCCACCATTGCAGCAATAATGCAATATATTTATTCAAAAAAAAAAAAATACGATGATCGATGATGGTCTATATTATTTGTGACAAAAATGTTTAACCGACGCAGAATATTTCAGTGTTAATACGGTTATTGTTGTACAATGGTGTGCAGTCGAATCGATAAATAATAATTTAACGACCAAAAAATCTGTAGGTACCCTCATATTATGGATCAAACAGTAATGATTATGCGTACACCGGCTGCAGATAAGACAAACTCGTTTTGTATAGATTTAATACATATTTATTGTTTATAATAAGTGGAAACGTTTCCGACAGTGCATAACTTTTAACTTGGAGTTTTCTCTATTTAAGTTGACCCATTGAAAATGGAGTTTATCTAACTTGCATGGATGATATCAATATTCGCTTTGAAAAAACTGACCGGAAACAAATTTGTGAGTTGCCAATTCATTATTGAACATTCAAATCGTTTATACTATTATAATAACGTTGAGGGCTCATACACTATCGAAACTCGTTACATAAATTTTGAAATATCCATCACGTTGTGGAGGACGGGGAGTGATCGAAATTAAATTAGGCCACAACAAGAGTGTTCATACAACTATAATATAGGGTAGAAGATCGGTTACGTCTATAATATAACATAATATATTATACGACACAAGTGTGACGAAATCGAAACTCATGTCAACCTAAGGAAAAATAAAATAATCGTTATGGTTTTCCAACGAAATGTCCGAATTATTTGTTTTTGTTCCGCCCAACCACATATAACGTGACCTTATGACAAAAAACATGATTTGTATAGTATTATTAGTAAATTATTAACACTCCGTTATAAAATTATGCAGACTGCTTATATTACTAAATCGTTTCCAAACAATAATGTCGATCAGTCGCCATCGCCGGACCTAATCTTAAAATAATAATATTCGAAACATGCGTCACAAGATCCCGGGCGGAGAATTTCATTAAAATTATATTCGGAAGAAGTGAACTACTCTATATACCTACGTCGTAATAGGGTGAGTGGCTACATGGAGGTAACTTGATTTTAAGTTCATAGAAATCCCTTTGTTATCATAGATTTTTATTTAAATACGATTCTATGCGGTTAATTAGTGTTCAACATAAATCCCTTTTATTATAGTTCACTTATATATCACTCTGTTGACCGAGTAATTTGAGTTTGTGAATAACTAACATCAAGTCTCCCATCATTGGGCTTTCCAGTATTTCCTCGACGCTTCCACATTCACATAATATGTCAACATAATCATATTTCCTCCAACTTACCAAGTTCTTCTCTGTTCTATACGTATATACCCCTTATCCCAGTCATTGAAGTGTTTTCTGCGCTTCTTATTTTTTGTTTTGTCCCGCCGGTAAACCTGACTATCAATCGTGCTAATTTCGGTTCATTCTCTCATTATACATTACGTTCATTCCATATATTTTGTCACTCCTGTTTTATGAGGGCCTTTTGTACTATACATCAAACTTCTTCCCTATTTGAAGCACTTTGTATAGGTACCTGTACCCGTGTATGCTTTGCATCCTGATTGCATTTTGTATCTTTCATAGTTTTATCTATTGAGAAATTGAATCAACAATTGGTATTAATGTTCTTCACACCCAACGTGTGAAACACGTTTAGCTCAAACCAGCTTCCTTTCTCATCGTATATTATGGAAACAAATCTACTGACATGTGAGTGAAGTCACGGGGAAATATCTTATCTTGTAACGTATATTATTATATTTTTATGTCACTCCGTTCGATTTTCTTTAAAAAGCAGCAATGATATAACGGTATATCTATTATTGTTATTGCCGTATTACGTATGCAATATATTATAATATATATATGCGTGTTTGTAGGGTTTCTTTATTATTATTATTATTATTATTAGTTTCTCTTGTCGCAATATTTTTCTCGAGTTTTATTATTATATTGAGCCGTCGAAAAGTTTACCGCTCGGAAATATCACGCGAGACCGAACTCGCGGCGCCTAAGACACAATGCAAAAACACATATTATTATACGATAATAACAATAATACTGCATTACGACGTGATTTATATATTATACACACTCGCCAACGGCGGGCGTCATACTATTATCTGCGAGCACATCACACTCCGTAGCAGTATACTTATGTACACGTAACGGCTCTTTTTGTGAATAAAATAACGATACGCATCACAATAATATTATAATTTTATTTATAATAATGTCGTGCACGTCGCAATGCTCAAACATAATTTGGCGCGACACGAAGACTTAGGCGAGACCACGATCTCCGTCGTCAAAGGCCTCTCAGGTGTACTGCTTTATTCACGCGCGACGCTTTGCTATTTATATTACCTATTATGTAGTTATGTCACTGTAATACGTCGTACGGTAAATGCGTCGATCAAATTTCGTCGTCGTCTCGATTTGAAAGAGAGAGGTGCCTATGTTACACGATATTATGACGTATAGCGTGTAAATATAGAGTAAAGAGACGCTCGTGAGTGATGTTTCTTTCCGTTATTAATATTTTCCCTCCACGCTTAACCCCTGATTCAAGGTCATGTTTGTACACCGAATAAACGCTCCACCAACGACCGAGTGTCAAAAAACATAAACACCCTTCACTCGAGTTGTTCTATATAATGTGCGTGTAATGTACACCGGCTTTGAGTTTGTATAATATTATATATTTACTTTTCGTGTTGGTTTCACGCGAAACTCCTTATTGTTCATTGCGCACTAGATCATAAAAACGACGTCTCCCTCAACAAGCGAAAATCTCAAGCAGCATAATATTATAAGTCATACGTGTTAAGTACCTCCCTATGTATTAACAAAACTGGACAAGTTAACCGATTTTAATAACTCGTTCGAGTTGAGTTTGAATAAAAGTCGTAAGTTAAATTTATAAAAGTAACTTTTTTTTGTTTTTAACTCATAAAAATTACAAATTACATAGAAAAATTAAACTTAACTCTGTTCAAAATCTGCTATATTATTATCTTAATTAACCAAAATCCATACCAAAACAAAATATATTATACATAAACACAAGAATAGATATTACAAAATAACAGAGAGGAAACTCATTGGATGTAAATCATACTAAGTGTAGTAGTCATTAATTTAATTTTTGAGAAATTACTGCACCAACATCACTTTAAATGAATAACTGAATTATCTAATAGTGTTACTATTGAAAAATTTGAAATTAATGTGCTTGGAGGACATTGTATTTTTATATGCAATAAAATAATTAATTTTTATTTGAAGAAAAAATTAACTTAACATTACAATAAAATTAATTAACTGATTAATAACAGTATAACCATGGGAAAAAAATAACTTGTTAGGTTATAAATTACTTTTTAAAAATGTAACTCTTTATGTAGGTAACTTAGTTAAAACTTATAAGTCTTTTAATTATTAAACTCAACTTAAACTTTTTAACTCGTTAATGCCCAGCCTTGCGTATTAGTTCGTCGCATTTACTACCTACACGGAAAATAATCTTATAATAATTCTTACGCTATAGCATACAATTTTATTATGAATGGCCGAACACGACTATTTTTGGTTTTTCATTTTACTTTTGTCATCATTACTGCATATCGATTTTAGTTAAGGTCTACAAAACGTTTGCACTGAATACCACGGTACGGTGTGGTTTCAGTTATTCAATGAACTATAATATCTACAACTGGTACATCAAACCGATATAAACACCTTTCTATTCAGTCATAGAGGAAACGATAAAAAATCACCTAGTGTTAAAAAATAAATATTATATCCTCGCAGTAAATATTATTTGATTCGCATGACTAAAAAAGCGTACAATTCAATGTAGTTACAATTTGACCAGTTTGTAGAGGTATTATATGGTTAATGTGGTGAATTAGGAAGTTTCACAAAGTCATGATTAAAATTAAATGTAATATTTCGTTAATTCTTAAGTTTGAAAATCCCAAAATATGTTTTCGATTGCAATACCATGAGATTAATCTAGAATTTTGCAGGATGAAAACTAATAAACAACTTAATTTATCTCTCGCATTCAGTAGATAGTACACTTAAGAACGGACAAAAATATTTTCGTGTACTCGATTTTTCTGATATTGGCATTAATATGCTGAAAAATAGATTACACGTGGAAAAGTGCCCAAACCGGTTTTTTTTCAAAAATATTCTTCTGAAATAATAACAAGTTATGCTGATGAATAAAAAATAGATAAACACTGTGGTGTTATTTAATTGTGTCGTGAATAAGCTAATAACCTCGATAATCAATAACAATCAGGTTACACCACGCAGTTCTGCAATCTGAATGGATATAAAAATGATAAAATTGTATAATATCATAATAGTGTAGGTCGTTTATATATGCAAACGAACACGATCTCATCGTGTATTATTGTTGTAATGGACGCAGAATGGTCCGCGAATGGACTAACGCGATAGTTCTAATGCCTGCATCGACGCAGTTTCAAACACTGGTGACATTCAACCCTGTCTAAGCAGGCAACTGTCCTGGTTTAAAAGAAGCCCCTCCCCACATGGAACTAACCTATACTTACAGTTGCTTATGTAGAAATTCCCGGGAAAAAAAAAAATGTTATTTTCATGAACGTTCGTATATAATATTGGTAAATTTAATACTATAATATTATACGATTTGTTTAATTTATGTGGAATAGCAGACAATATAACGATACACAGTAAAACTACCTATGTATATTATTAAATGTGATGATATCGCATGTTTGATGCATGACGTAGATTGCAATTATTACACGCCACGGTTTTTCGCGTCAAAGCATGATGTCGAAAAAAAATAAATACGAAAAACTCTAAAATGGTTTCAATCCACAAAAGGTGTATAATAATATGATATTATTAGAAACTAGGTGATTCTTTTGTGGTTTTCATATCTTAGAATTTAATACGAGGAGTTTTTAGATTTTAGACTTAAAGAACAAAATAGTTATACTGATCAACGAAGAAAAATGTTGAATGGTATAAATTTGTATCGTTTAAAGTATAATTAACAAACGATTGCTTTGAAAAAAAATCCTCGTGAGTGCTAAGATATTGCTTTGAACACGACGAGAGAATCACCACACATAATATGTATAGTATATATATACATGCTTATGCATAATAATATAAGATGTACCTAACGAAAGACCTTAGCGTGTGCGTTTTAAATCTTAGCCCTGTTGCATGTTCTACCCATCTATTCTACTTGATTTTACATTGTTATCATTATTATTATTATTATTATCATTATTATTATTATTATTATTACTACTATTATTATTATTATTATACTTGAATCTCACAGTAATATTTGTACTATTATATAGTATAACCATAATATAATATTATTACAAACTGAAATATTAGTTACGCATCTTTATCATTACGATCCACAATATAAAAAATATATACATATAGACATAAATACTATGGTAATACTTTATCTTCAAGATTGGATACGTTCAAACTTCTTGGTGAACTTTTTGCGTACTATTTGACTTTGAAAAAATGAGTTTCTTTTTATCTCTCATGCGCTTTGAACGCGTGTTGAACTGTCGCGAATTAAAAAAACCGATGCCAACACGGACAACAAAAATGTATGTCTCTACGGCTACACGCCGACTATATGCGTAAATTTAATGACGATTATTGAATGCCTTGTCGTTCTGAAAACTCGCCGACACGTCTTACAAATTGACAACTACAACTGCTGATCTGGAGGAAAACATATTAAGAGGACGCTACAGCCGCATGTGTTGTCTCCATCTTACAAATTTACAACACCAAAAGTTGTTTTGTGGTTGACAATTATACTTACTCTGTATCTATAGTGGAACTTCCAAAATTTCATAACATATAGAGAAGAACTTTATCTGTGTTTTGGTATTTTAATTTTTTTTAGAGCACTAATCAACATTTTGTAATAATTAAATGAAAAAAACAAAAACAACTTAATGATCTCAAACTGATAACTATGTTAGTATGTTATCCAAATAATATAAACGCCACGAATAAAGTTCTCCTCTATGAGTTTTGGAGTTTTGTTATTCGTATGATTTATAAACAGCGAGTATAGTTGTCTCACTCTAAACAGTTTTTCTTATGTTGTACATTTGTAAGACAACACTTGCGAGCGTAGGGTCCTTTAAAGCTCCGTCGTTAGTGACGTGTCAGCTGCGAGTCCGAATAACTGAAGCACTGGTAGTCACGATGTTTAGCTGTTCCAAAACCTTATGCGATTGCTTGGGATGTTTGAACGTATCCAGTCAGTCCAGCCAACGACTTAGACGATTATAGATCGTAGTTTATTGTACAATTCATAGACTCAGTCTTGTAAAGTAGGTACTTTAGTAATAGTATTCAAATACTTTTTATGTACCTAATTTTATTTTAAATAACTTTGAAAAAAGTCCTTTGACAAATACTTTCAAATCGGTAAAAAATACTAATTCCTAAATACTTTTTATTTGTAGTTAATATTTGCATATTTTCAATTCAATCGTGTAATACATATTTAAAAAAAAAGTTGCATACAATCATGTGTAAAATACATGTAAGTCATGAAAATTCTAAAAAAAAGTTTTAGATGATTTATAAAGCACAACAAATTATATGCAAACAATTTTTAAGTACTTGAAAGTATCTATGAATAATACTTTTAAAACGTACCTTTTACAAGACTGTAATCATAGTAATATATTATATTATCATTATAATATACCAATACGCGTATACTTATTCCTACCGAGTACTAACTGCCACCGTCGTTGCACGCGAATTTTCCAGGACTTCACGCTGGACTTTTACTTCAGACAGTTCTGGACGGATCCCCGGTTGGCGTTCACCAAGCGGCCGGGTGTTGAGACACTGTCCGTGGGATCGGAGTTCATTAAGAACATCTGGGTGCCCGATACGTTCTTCGTCAACGAGAAACAGTCGTACTTCCACATAGCGACCACCAGCAACGAATTCATCCGAATACACCATTCGGGGAGCATAACGCGGAGCATTCGGTAAACGTTACGACTGTATACATAGTAGATTATCATTATAATACCTGGAGGCTCACAGAACTACCCCACCGAATACATTATTTCAAAATGAAATATTACACCCCCCTCCCTCCCACTTCAATCACTAATTCCTTGTTGGCATATAAGCGTTTGTATCACCATCATATGACACGAATTTATAATTTTATAACAAATCAAAATATTTTATGATTATATTTCCCATCAAGACCAGAAATCAAAATTCGAAAAATTTCTTTTTTAAAATATAAAATGTGTGGCTATGTTTAGCGAATCACTCTGTATATAAAAAATTGCTTTCCCCAAAACACCACATAAACATTTATCTATATAATAATATTGTCTTGTCTTGCAGGAAAATCACACCTATAGTGTGCATAATATAATTTTTATTATTACATTTTTGTAGTGCATATCGTTTACCACAGATTTTTTTTCCACAGCTTGACCATCACCGCGTCGTGTCCCATGAACTTGCAGTACTTCCCGATGGACCGACAATTGTGCCACATCGAAATTGAGAGCTGTAAGATATTTATTTTAACAACCCTCGTTCATAATAATATTAACCACCATGTGCATTATATTATATAAAAAGTGATAGTTGTCGAAAACTAAAAAATGTTGATTTGGAATTTACGTGATATTATTACTGTTAAGAAATATTTGTCCTACTACGACGAACGACTACGGTCTTAATACCTAATATTCATAAAATATTAATAACATTTATAAAATAAATAAATCGTAAAAACTTGTGATATAATAGTAAATTTCTGTTTTTTTCCATCCGTTTTCAGTCGGATACACGATGAGGGACATCAGGTATAAATGGAACAAGGGACCAAACTCGGTGGGCGTGTCCAACGAAGTGTCATTGCCGCAGTTCAAGGTGCTGGGTCACCGTCAGCGAGCGATGGAGATCAGCTTGACGACGGGTACGGCGTTTGATAAACGATCTATAATAATAATACAAATAGAAAGTATCTATTTAGGGTAGAACTCGTTTCGGAAATTCTATAATAGCATTTTTCGGTCAGTTTACTATTGTTGTTGTCAATTTTTAGATTTTACTACTAATTTGCCATCAAAATATTATACCATCCGTTGTATAGACGCAGACGTTTGCGGTACAATGTTATTTTCTACTGTAGGTTGATATTTATTTGCTAAGTAGTTACTTTTGCAGAGTTTGGACTTACTGCAACATGTAAATTAATTTTTATGTCGGCAACATAATATATAGAAAAAAATCGTGATAGATGTTGGGGTTTGAAAATTTGAAATTTAAATCAACTTTATATTTATATTTTATGGTTTATGAATCTATAACATTTCACCTCTTCATTAATACAATGTAAAAATCTTGGTATACAATAAAATGTATTTATTTAATGGTAGGATGGAAATGTCTTACTCTGTAATGAGGTGGGATATCCGTTTACCATTATTTATGAATGCAATCGAAAAATAAATATAATATAAAATTGTATGGGTTTTTATAATTGTTTAAATATTACACCGATGACCAAAATCGTTTATTGGCAGAGTGGGGGAGGTTCGTTTTGGCCTCAATCGGTTCAGCCCTGTAGTTAATAGCACCGCAGTGTACGCTTACCACAACCGTCCACCATTGCAGGCAACTATTCAAGACTGGCTTGCGAGATCCAATTCGTACGGTCCATGGGATACTACCTGATCCAGATCTACATACCCAGCGGGCTGATCGTCATCATATCGTGGGTGAGCTTTTGGCTGAACAGGTGTGCGACACCCGCCCGAGTCTCGTTGGGTGTTACCACCGTGCTGACCATGACCACGCTCATGTCGTCAACCAACGCGGCGCTGCCGAAGATATCGTACGTCAAGTCCATCGACGTGTACCTGGGCACGTGTTTCGTCATGGTGTTCGCATCGCTTCTAGGTGAGTAATTAAACTATAATAATGTTATTTATATTGTGTACAACAATTTATTCTGGCAATGTGATTACGTTTTCGATCACCGTGTTTCCGTTTTTGCATACCACCATTGACACTACCATGGAGTGGTAGGTGCTGTTTTTATATCGATACAGTAATATACTTGCGTTATATAATATAAATAAATATGTGATCTTATGATTTAAAATTAAATTAAATCATGAGACTTTAACATTTTGATTTTTTAACCAGAGCTTATGAACTAATCTCGACCCTCAACGCCCCAGAACTCGTCAAAAATCAAAAAAACCAAAACCCGTTCGGCATTTTTGAATGGTTCATTTTTTTTCAAAATAACCAAAACCCGAAACCAAAATATTTTTCGTTTCATCAATTTGAATAATAATTTAAAACAAATAAGAATTAGAAATAAGTTATACCTAATTATTAAATATTATAACATACATCATAATACATAGGTGGGGGTGGGGTTGGTTATTTTGATGATAACCGAGAAATATCTTTTTTAATGGTAAATATTTGCGTTGTGTATCTGATCACTCTTTTAATATTCTCTGGTTTTAACACAACTACTAGACACCTGTGTTCATCCATATTAACCCGGGTTACAGTGGCTTTTAACATCTTAACATTTGTTTAAATGTTGTATTTGAACACCAATATACAATTAGCACTTGAAATCTAAAACTAGGGTAAAAGCTCTGTTTAAAACAATATTATATATTGTCCATATCGTGTTCTTTTCTAAAGTTGTTATGGTTGGTCCTTAATAGTAAAATAATATTATTTTATTAATTTGCGCCTTGGATTATCAGTTCCTAATTCATTATATTACGATTGCGATATTGGTTGTATGAAGTTAATTTCATAACATGATGTTTATCGACCGAAGACAAAAAAAAAATTATTCTCGGGGACGGCGTTGAGCCATTTATTGCAACAACCTCAATGGATAAACTTTTCCGTCGGATCATTACAATATTATTACTATTTCAAAACCACGTCTGTGTTGGACTTCACCATTAATACCATATTGTTATATGTACCTTTGATGTTAAAATAAAAATGTACGTCCAATTAACGGCCCGGAGTGAAATTAGTTTGGTACATCAAAGCCCGCATAATGTTGTACACACCTAACACCCAACACCCATCCTCTCCACCTGACCAATGGTCCCCACCCGTTATTTATCACCCGAAATTCTGTCAAGAGGGTTGAGATTTCAGCAAAGTAATAATCGCTACTTTCATTCAAGGGTAGTTAATAATTAACCGTCAACTGTGCAGTGGAAATTTTGCTGTGTCCGGTTGACGCGTCACCAACGACCATTTTTTCGGCTGTGCCAGGTCCGCCTACATTGACGGAATAGAAAACAAATAGATTTGTGTCTTATCATTCATTGTGCAAATAAATTTGATTATATTTTACGATAATACAATAAATAATATGTTAATATTATCAGGTTTTGTTTATATTTGTTCTGAATTTATACGTTTTATGATCTATGTCTATTTCGGGAGAATAATATCATACCTAAAGTATACAATTTTAAAAGTACAAATATAAATATAAATAAACATAATATTTTACAAACATTTTTAAAATAGTTATAGTGCGTCCATAAAAACGTTTTGAACTTATCGATAACTATAGAACTACAATAGGAACAAAAATAATTAATTTTTCACGATTCACATTTTGGATTATGTAATGAATTTTAAAACAAATATTTAAAGTTACCGAGAAACGAAATTTGAATATAAGAAATTAAATTATATGATTAAAAAAATTAAGTGTCAACAAGGTTTTTATTTCAACTTAATTATATTATACACAGGTTTCTAGGAGAAACCTATAGGTACTGTAACTAAAAATTGGTAAGAACAAAAAACGTGAATATGCATAGGTTTTTCCATGCATACAATATTTATATTGTAACTCGAAATTAGCTAACAATATACTATTCATTTATTTGTTAATGTTATATTTTCATTGCAACTGAAACGTGAAATGGTTAAAAAAAATCATAATCATCATCGAATAACGTTCAATATAACTAATCGATAAACATAATTTCAACTATGTTATTGTTTGGTTAAAATGACAAGAATAATGTCCAGACAGATTGTTTTGTATTCAGCCCAAAAACATATCCATGTTTAATAAACGAATTCAAAATTTAAAACTGCTCTTCCATAGATTTTATGTTTGCACCAATCGAATTCTGTCGTGGTCTATTATAATTATTGTTATTTTTACTATATCCAAGTTTAAACCGGAAACGGTTGCCTTTTGTTTTCACAGAATACGCCACTGTGGGGTATATGGCCAAGAGGATACAGATGCGGAAGAACCGTTTTTTGGCCATACAAAAGATTGCCGAACAGAAAAAAGGAGGCGGTGGAGGAGGAGGCGCCGGTGGTCACTCCTCTCACGACGGCCATTCGCACTCACATCCCCACCACTCGTCACGTCATGGTCACGGCCACGGCTCTATATCCGGCCACAGCACCCTGTCGGGACACGGCACCCTGTCTGGTGGACACGGGCCCCAGTCTGGCCACGGCACGCTCCCTCACGGTATGTCCAGCCACGGACTGGCGTCGCATGGTACCATGTCAAGTCATGGTTACGACGGCGGTGGAGGTGGTCACCGGCACAGTCACATGGGCCACGGAGGCACGTTGTCTGGATCACTGATGGCCGGAGACTTGGATCACACGCCTCGACAAACCGTAAGCGTCGCAAATATTTACTCCCCAAATATTTCATAATTGAAGGGCTCGAAAAAACCAGAAAAGTGCCACTTTTTGAAACTTATCAGTAATATTCCATCTTAAATACAACTAATCAAAAGTAGAAAGTAACACATTATCACAATTATTGTTAAGAGTTAAGAGCGAAAAAAACTACTAGACAGTAGAACTCGATATTTTCCTTTGAAATACTACGGGCCCCCTGATTAAGATATAGGTTGCAGTGCCCCTTGTAAGTGATTCCCGTTTGTTCCAGGAGGTGCGATTCAAAGCCCACGATCCGAAAAACTACCTGAAAGGCGGTTCGCTGGAGAACACCATCAACGGCCGCGGGGATGACGACAACATCACACCCATCCCCACACAGCACGTCATGCACCCCAACAAGGACATTAACAAGCTGTACGGCATCACACCAAGTGACATCGATAAGTACTCGAGGATTGTGTTCCCGGTGTGCTTCATTTGCTTCAACCTCATGTACTGGATCATATACTTGCACATTAGCGACGTGGTCGCCGACGATCTGGTGCTGCTGGGCGCAGACTGAACTCATCGGTTACTTTCTATACCGGGCAGCTGTTTTCCATACCTACACACCCATATATATATATATATATATATTATATATATTATGTATAATATACTACTTACATGCGATTAAATAATCTATATTGTACACTTAGACTTAGTGGTGGTGATAAGAGCTCAAAGAAATACAAATTTCCGTAAGATTTATATATATATATATAAATATATTATATTATACGATATTTAGTAGTGTTAACGCAATTATTATTATTATTATTATTATTAAATTTTGTTGTACTTCGTACGACATAATATTCTCTATAATATGTATATTATGATATAAGTCTATAGACAGGATCGATCTAACACCTGCAGGGTTTTTCACAGATTCTCATACGCGTAGGACTAGACTACGTTATAATAATAATATGATATTAATTATTATTATAAACTAAATCGGAATAATAAATTATTAACATACTATGTTATTATAATTATTGTGTTAAGCGATGTGTCGATCACGTGACAATGATTGCACTAAACATGCACTCGATGGACGTTGCAGGCGTGGCGTTTATTCGTCGCGTTTTTCCAAAATTGTCGATGAAAGTATAATACTATTATTATATAAAGAGATTATCATGACGGTAAGCCGGTTACGTACCTCTTGGTCGATAACCAACTCGCCGTTTTCAAGTGAAATAAATTAATCTCTCACCAAACGTCCACAACAATGATAATATTATTTATGATGATTCACGCGGTACAAAATCGAAATTGTCCCAAAACATCGAAATTCGTGAAAAACGATAGCAATAATTATTACGCCGATGAGCAATAAACAATATAATTGTAACGCGAAAGCAATAATATTATAATAATATTACGTCGTGTTCGCCGACACTGGAAATGCACACAACGGAGACTGATATGAATAATATTATCGTGATAATAATGTTGTATACTGAAATCGATAACTAAAACGTCGCGGGCAAATGATTCACCGATTAACGTTATTTTTTCAAAAGCTTGATAATATAATATCATTAAATAATATTATGTGTTATTAAAATTCGTGTAAATTAAACATTAATATTTATAGATGACAATACCTTATAACGTTTTCAACAACTATTTAAACCAATATATTAGCTCACAATACATAATACAAAATACATAACATTTATGTATATATATATTTATATATTATGAATTATATATACATATGTGTACCTATGTTCTAATATCAAATGTGTACAATAACGTCTATGTAAATTATATTTTTCGTACAAAAATATCATCGTCAAAACGACATTTTCAAACGCGAAATCGAACGCAACGCACGGAGTTAATTATTCACACTTGCACTTTATTCCGATAGATTTCATGTCGAAAACAAATTCGTTTTTATTTCACGACTCGACAAAAATTTCTAACACAATAAATAGTATACAATTAAAATGTACCATAGGCCGTATAGACCCACACAGTATTATTATACGAGGTGATTATACCAGCCACAAGGATGTTCGGTCTACTCTCCTTTATCTCTTTGAAAAATAAATGTATTCAATTTATGATTTTTAAACTTTTAAATTCACTTAGAGACGATATCTTCAAATTCTTGAAATTCTTTATAATATTTAAGGAGCGTCCTATACTTTTATGATTTCTAATCGAAGTTTGAATCTTTAGAAAACACTCCTTAAGCGTGGTAGGTACAAAAAATCTAGAAATGTAAAATGTAAGTACATTTTTTTTTTTTTTTGATATTTTTCCAAAAAATATCCATAAACTCCGCACACTTGGTAAATGTTGATATTTTAATGATTTTGGGTATTAAACCACAGGACACAGGGACACACCCAGGGACGCTACTCCACCTGTTTTTCTCATACATATATTATCAGTTATAACCTTATGAGTAGTAGTGTGTTATTGACTTTTCTATATATTTTCAATTATTACTATTTTAAGTTAAAATAAATTTTGGGTTGATAACAATTTATTACAATATACACAACCATAGGATTAATCATGGACCACGATATAGATACAACCACGTTTAATAGTATTGATGATATTGCCCATAACGATTGATAGTATGATAAAATATAATATATCAGTAGTATTTGGCGTAATATAATATATACTCTGTAGACAATATTATATTAGACGGAGATCGACTGTACGTAGTTCTAGCGACCAGAGCGCTGTCCGTCTATTAGTATAATGTCTACGAAATATTTACCTCGTAAAGACGTTTAATTTAGGGGGAAGGGTCACATGCTTATTTTATTGGTAAAAAAAAAAGTTACTCGTAAAAATTCAATTCGTAAATTTACCGTGCTTACATCTCTAGAATAATCTCAAGAATTTGAAAAAATATTTATATTGTGTACGAAATATTGTGGTCTTTAGGTATATTTAAATACTCCAAAAAGCATATTTTTAGTAACTGCATTGTTCGACTAAGAAAATAGAGTGAACGTGCTTGTCGCTTGGTGAATCATTCTGCAGTATAATCAAGTTGCGAAATATGGCTAAGATTTACCACTCTACCGCACTGTATACGACATTCGTGTTCGCACCATTTCCGGTTTTGCGTTTGACTTCCGTTCAAGTGCACTATTTGGACGACTCTGTATACTTACGCTAAATGTACGTGCATATTACTATATATACTAACATATAGGATAATATGTGTATTATCGTATTTCCATGGCCGCGAAATGCACCTGCGACTGTTTATAATTATTATAATTATTTAAAATAGGTACTAAAATTCTATTATATTATTATGGTTACGTTAAGTTAATTTTAGGACTGAAATTATGACGATTAAAGCAATTTATGTAATAATTATTATATTATAATATTATACAAAGTCGACTATTCGTAGTGTTTTATACTGAAAAAAATATATCTAAATATTATATATATTATACTAATATATTATTATGTATATTATGCCATTTGTACATAAAAATACATATTTGACCGTAGTTGTTGTACGATTAGGGTAATATATATACACATATATATATATACATATATATGTTTATATAGATAGCGTTGCCCTGTGATTAGCTCATTGTTCCAGTGGCATATTTTAGGTTACAAAACTATATATTATTATAATATGTATAGGTATAATAATATGTAATATTAAGAGGAAACGAAAACGAGTATTGTAATAATTAGTGGTAAAAGGTACATTTTTTTTTTTTATAATTGATTGATTTCCAACATATTATTATTTGATAGGTGTCGCCGTTCTAATTTCTCAAAATTATTTTTGTAAGTCGCAAATTATATATAAATATATATGTATTATTACTAATATTATTATATTCGCGTGTACAAAACTATAATACAACTTGATGATGTGTAACACAGTGAAGATATTATGTATTAATGTAAAAATTGTATGCGCGTGTGTGTAGTATGTGCGCGAGGTGGTGTACGCGCATGCACTACCGATTATACATAATTAATTGATATTATATAAAATGTGTTTATGTGACGTTTTATGCATATTAATAATATAATATACTATATTGTATTAGAGTCGGTCGAACACATTGTATTAACACTTAACAGTGTTCGTATTCGACGGTATTATATGATATTATATCGAGAGAAAACGAAAAATTAACAATACGAAACGCACAATATTACACGATTTTATTTTAAGTGCATTCTATTTTGCTATACCCATAGGTAAAATACGATTGTTGTGTACAAATATTTTTTTTTTTTGTTTCTTACGACGGGTTTAGCGTAGATATCGACAATTTACAGTTAAAGTATCTAGATAATCATCTGGTAGCCTATTTTTATATTCCGCAGGGCGCTTTGGTAAAAAATCCAAATCGAAAGCCTCCACTGATGGGTGATGACAGTAATAATAATAATAATTACTTCATCGCGATCGGTGCAAAAAAATCATTATCGTCTACGAAAACTATAAATTCTAAAAATGTCGACCACTTTCTCCTCCTCCGCCGCTACATCAACCTTCTTCTCATCCGACCAAACCAAAATAATATCCTTGAAAAAAAACAGAATCGATTTCAAAGATCCAGTTCATTTTTTCTATAATATAGTTATGTCTCGTAGGTACATAAATCACGACTAAAATCGAAATCAAAAGAAATTATTTAATAGTAAAAAATGAGTCAGTAGAGGTATCCCTTATAGTATTACATAATACAATATGGTCTTGATTTTGCCCCTTTCTAGGTGGCGACATGAGAACCCAAATCGTATTTTATGTATATTTTTTTGTTTGCCTTTATATTGATATTATATAATAATAATATATGTACCCGCGTAGTTGTATGTGTATTGTTAACAACGGTACATTGTTATTATTATGTATTATTATAAACGATATAATATTATGTAATATATTTATGATATCGCATATGTTTAGACATTAATATAATTATTTAACGAAAATATTTTTAAAAGCACTTTCAGATTGTGATTCGCACATTTTAAACGATAATACAATTTGACTTCCTTAGTGTTTAAATCAGCAAACGGTAGCGCGTTGTTATTTGAAAAGATAAAAAAAAAACGAAAAAAACGAAAAAAATTTGTAAAAAATGTGAAACTACCGTCGTATATTCTAAATCTCGTTAGGTAATAATAATATTATTATATTATATTAAACTGTTATTATTTTAAGTTTTTGTAGTCTATTATTGTAAGACCGTTATTCGTTTGCGTTCATAAATAACATAATAATAATATATTATTATTATTATTATATTGTATATTACTATGATAATAATATATATATACTATTATATAATTATATATATTATATTGAATATGTATATATATTTATATGTTATATTATGTTTCCCCTTATTTATGTCAATAATAAGTATTATTAATTATATACAAATAGTTTATAAATTATTATTATTGTGATGATTATTATATTGTTTGTTTTAATTGTATGCTTCCGTTATTTTTTTTTCTTTCTTTTTCTTTATCAAATTATTATTATTATTATTATTATTATTATATATTTATATATATATATACATACATATATGTATATTATATATAATATTTTACACGTCGATTAAGTTACAATAAATATAATTAAATACTCAATTGAAGTGTATGAAAAAATTATATTAGTCAACTGAATCTCAATACGCTCAATAAATATGGTGAAGCAAATATTATATGTTTTGTTTTTTCGTTTGGTTTTTTGTAAGCCTTTTATTCATTCGTTTATCTATATGGAAAAATACCTATTATAATTTATTAAAGCCGAATAGAATCCTTTCCTCAGATTCCTGTCTCAATACCGAGTGATAAATTTATTCTTTTATTTCAAATGTATATTTTTTTACATAATTTAAAGTAGTTAAAAAACATAATGTTTCTAAACAAATTATAATGTTTCACTATTTTTTACTGTAATAATTTTCTAATGTCTTAGTTTTTTTTAATGTCAACTACGTGCATTTTTAATTCCTTATTCCAAAGCAGACAATTTTATTTTTAAAAATACTCCGATAGTTCGATATTAAAGTGACTTTTTACACTCTTTATATCTGCATAACTAATTACATTTAAAAATATTTTATAAGTAAACGTACAATTGTGCACGAATTCAAAGATACTCTGAAAGTAGTGCGTTTTAAAGTAATATAAACTAAAAAACTATTAAAAATATTAAAACGATCCAATCAAAACCTATAATTTTGTTAAACAACAAAAGAAAAAAAAATTAAATACTCATTTTCTAAATGTTTGACAAGTCAAATATATTATATCAAACACATTTAAATTGAATAAGAAAATCACGTTTCAAGGTGGGATGTGTAGGATAGACCAGGTGCTATATTATGTAATACAGCTGTTAATCTACCAATTAACAAATAAGATTAGAAAATAATAAGCTTATTGAATAGGATGCAAATCCATGCATTAATTTCATATTTCAAGTTTGTCGAAGTTACTCATTTAGAAGTAATTAACATACACGTGTAAGTATACAATTAACTATATATTATACTTATAGTATAATAATTAATCAATTATATTTTGTTTTTAATTGAAGAAAATATTTAAAATAAACGCTAATGCACAATCAATACATTTTATAAAAGTTAGTAAGACTCACTTAGACTCAGCACTTCACAATTTTTTTTTAATTGTGTTAAACGCAGAACAGAAAATGTGAATCTATCCAATTATTCTTGAATTAATATGTGTCATGTGTAGGTACATCAAGTGTGCATATAGAGAAATAGTTAAGCTTAAGTCAAGGATTTCAATACATATAGTGCATTGATTTTGGATTTTCGAGGATAATGATTTTTAAGTATAAATAAGTCGTTTTATATAACACATAAACGTAAAAATAAACTTTTATTTCAATTTTTTAATTTTTTCCAT